AGTACATATTCACACCAGAACCTGGAAGAGAGACCTTAAAAAAATATTTGAAGGGGGACTGGAAGGAAGATAGTTGCTCATGGTGTAGGCATTCTGCCTACTTTTGCCTCTGGTAAACAGATCTGTCAGGGTTTTGTGTTTCGAAATGTTTTTGTTGTGATGTGATGATTGTTCAGAAGAAATATGTGTTTCTCAAAGCACTTTCAGGCTTCTTAAACCATGGTTTGACTCTGGGCTTACACATTGTAGCTGTAGCAACAGTGATTTGCAGAAGGCAAGCTATATCTGGGTGAGATATTCTGCTCTCTATTGCATCAATTATATCACAATGGAGCCAAAAAGCACCCCTTTTCTATCATTATTAAAGCACTTTCCCCCCCATCCTGTTCCTTATATGTTCCTGGAGAGCAGCAAAAGGGATAGCCAGAAGAACAGAATGCCATTGTTGGAAAGGATTTGAAGTAGGTAGTCATTCTTGTCTTGTTGGGAAAACCTATTTTATTTTATGCATTTTTTGGTTTTTTGCATAAAGGAAAGCTTCAACACTGGTTTGGAGTGATGGCTTTTTAGCTTCCTAATGAAGCTCTTCTTGCTTTGCATCACTTAAGCAGAGCTTTGACTTCACCCTCCCCAACTAAGATCTTGATGTTGGTGGACTGAATAGTGAAATGCTTGTCACTTCTATGTGTTTGTATCTCTGTCTGCCTGTTTGTAGACTTTGCAGGGTGACATACAGCGAGGAATGAGTTTGATATAATCCTGATCTTCCTGATGTGGAGGATGTGGAGAAGCAAACACTGAATCTTCTGGATCTCTGACAGCTTGATTCATGAGTCCATCACCTTGAACTAGAGGAGGGGCCCATGGCTCAGTGGCAGAACAGGTGCTTAGCATGCAGAAGTGTCCAGACAGAATCCTTGGCATCTCCAGTTAAAAGGATCAAATTGATGTGAAGGACCTCTGCCTGAGACTCTAGAGAGCTGCTGCCAGTCTGAGTAGATCTTTTTGAGCCTATGGGCACCTTTGGAATGTTGACACGGGGGTGGGTGGGCATAATCACAAAATGGCTGCCGCAGGAGGAAGACCCAACTACAAAGTATCAGGGATTGAGGTTAGGCATAATTCTAATAGTAACTCTTCAACATTTCAGGCAGAAGCGCTGTTTAACCGGTTGCCTTTTAAAAATAATATATTGTTTTAAAATGTTTTCTTGCATTCCTCCAGCTTACTTTCAGTCACACAGTAAAGTTCCTTGTGCTGTGGTGGTAGCTACTGTCAATGTAACCTTTTAAAAATCTGTACAGCTAATCAGATTTCCAATGGTCAAGCAAAAGCCTTGGCAGGCAAAAGTCCCATCTGTCCCCATCCACTTTCTAAGAAGAGTTGGTGGGTACCAGGAAAGGTGTTGGCAGGCACCATGGAGGCCATGGGCTGGCACCATGCTGGGAACCTTTGGAGAGGACAGTACTGACTTTGAGGGGCCAGTGGTTTGACTCAGTATAAGGCAGCTTCATGTGTTCATGTGAACTTGGCAATGCTGACTACAGTATTAGCAGCTGGTGTTGTTTTTACTGTTGCCGTTGAGCTGCTACTGTACTTGCCAGTTGTTTTGGATCTGAATTTGAATACTTCAGTTCTATAAGGGAATATGTTTTGAAAAACCATCATGAGCTGGCCTTAGTTGGGAAGCTCAGTCAGTTCTTTCCCTTATTCCTAGCATAGTTACCATATTTCTCAATTAAGATATTGGGTTGAATCCAGACCAAGTTTTCTGCTCATGGAAGGCATTTCTGTCAGTGGAACACAACTTTCTTGCCTCCTCCACTCCTACTTCAGCCCATTGACCTTCCTGAAATGTTGCTTCTGGGGACAGGGGCCCACAAAAACAGCATGAGAGATAAATTGGGGGTCTGCAGCAGAAAGAGGGAACTGGTGGAAATTGCTCTCACCTTCTGTTAGTGGAAAATCCAGTCCATTAAGGCTACAAGGCTCTGCATGCTTACTTAAGAGCAAGCCCTACCGAAGTTTTTGTCAACGTGTGTAAGGTATTCGCTACCATATTGATCCATCTGTCATTACTAGCAGCCAACATGTAGTTTGGAATTGATTGTGTCAAATCACTTTGGTTCTTCTTTTAAAAATTAACTAGGTTGGAGGACTGGGAGGAAATGTGATGTTATAGCCCAGTCTCATCGGATTTTGGAAACTAAGCAGAGTCAGTACTTAGATGGGGACAACCAAGGAAGATTGCGAAGAAAGACAATGGCAAACCACTTCTGTTTCTAACTTGCCTTGAAAACCCCTTGCTGGGGTTGCCATAAGTTGGTTGGAACTTGATGGCACTTGCATATGTAGGTTTGAGGATTAGCAGAATGCAGTGGCTGTAATATGTCTTGACTTCAGCAAAGCTTTCACTGTTCTCATAAATGGAGTACAATGTGGTGCTGGATCTTGGGTAAACAAGTGGTTAGAAGAAGCTGTACTTAGTGAATCAGTGTCAAATAGTTGGCATTAACATGCAGATCCACAAGCACAGATATTCAACATTTTCATCAAGGACTTCGGTTAGGCAGCGCAGGATAATGCCTTTCAAATCAGAATCAGACTATATTCTGGGTGGGGGTTCCAAATACTTTAAAGGATCAGGATCATTCAACATGAGGTGATTTCAATAACTTGAAGTACTTGCCTAAAAAAACTAAGCAAAGGCTACCAGAATCAAATGTTAACTGTTATCTAAGGATAGAAACATATATGTACAGTGAATAAAATGCTGAAAATGGCCAGAATATAGTTTTCTGAGAGTTCTAACAGATTTCAAGTTGAATGTGTTACCATTATATTGCTGTTGTAGAAGGGGGAAACAGACATGTTATTATGCATTATATTGACAGAATGATGAACAAAATCATAGTATTGTTCTAAAGTGGTTAAACGTCAGTTTTAAACACTATACAAACCAAAAAGCATTCAGATGAGAACAACAAAGCAGGTCATGGATTTTAAAAGCATGACATGAAAAAAAGGTTCATGAATTTTAATTGTAAGCTGTCTGGAGCAGGCTTCTGATGAGATGGAATAAATAAATACAATAGCTTCCAAACATCTCAAAAAACAGTATCGGCTCCTGTTTGCCACTGATAAGAAGATGCCTCGGAGGCAGAATTGTAATTTAGGCAGACCATCAGGAACAGCTTCCTAACTGAAATATGTTCACAGAAAATTAGGGATGTTCTCCAGAGATTTTGGAGATGAGGCAACTTCAGGCAGGCCGATGTGGCTCTAAAGAATTTTGCTAATGCAGAAACTGGAATAGACGATCATGGGCAGTCTGTTCAATTGTACACAGAAGCCTGGAAAATGTAACTGTAACTGTAGATAAGACCAGAAGGAAATGGGAAAAAAGTCTTATGATTTGGGGTTCCTAAGGATACATTTGCGTCGGCAGGCTGTACTGCCTAATTTGGAAAGTATTTGTGTTCTTACATTAAGGCTCAAGATCTGGATGGAAACATTTTGGAATGCAACACATGTAATTCAGTCAAGAGAGAACCTGACACCAAGAATTCCAGTGGAGTAGCCAGTTAACTTCCATTTCAGAGTATCTGAGGAAGTGTGCATGCACATGAAAGCT